TTTTTTTTTTTTCTGAACTGGGGATTGAACTCAGGCCCTTGCGCTTGCCAGGGAAACGCTTATTCTACTGAGCCATCTCCCCAGCCCTATATTTTGTTTTTGAGACAGGTCGTGGTAAGTTGCTCAGGCTGGGTTCAGACTTGGGATCCTCCTGCCTCAGCCTGCTAGATCACTGGGGTGCCAGCTGGGTGCCATCACAGCTGTTTTTTTTTTTTTAAAGTGTATTTAGGACAGTGTCTGTGGGGCCTACAGGGTCTCACTACGTAGATCAGACTTGTAGTGATCTCCCTGTTTTCAGCGTCCCAAGTGCTGGGGTTACAGGTGGATGCCCCACGCCCAGTGTCAATTGCCATCTCAGCGAGTCCCCGGGGGCGGGGCGGGCACTGCACGCCAGGGATTGAACCCTGGCCCCTGCGCTCTGCCTATGCAGGTGCTTTAGTCCGTTGAGCTGTCTGGCCGGCCCTTTCACAGCTGGTTTTGAGGCTCCCAGGCTGGGAGGAAGCGCAGTCCTCACATAGTGTCTCCTTCTGCAGCGGAGACCCTTCTGGGCTCCCCAAGCACACCAGCGACCTTGGGTCCCGCTCGGCCAACCAATCCCCGCAGTCAGTGGGGAGCTCGGGTGCGGACAGCGGCGTGGAGAGCACCTCGGATGGTCTGCGCGACCTGCCGTCCATCGCCATCTCCCTGTGTGGTGGCCTCAGTGACCACCGTGACGTCACCACGGGTAGGGGCTGCGCACCACCCCACACTGCCCCCCGGTGGCCGCTGGTGGGAAGCCGCGCTCGCAGATACTGCTGTTACCGGTTTCCCTGGGTGTAGGGAGATCATGCCCATGGTTGGCAGCGGGCAGTTAGCCAACTTCAGAGTTCTTTGCTTACTTTGTTTGCATTTTGAGACAGGGTTTCAGTATGTAGTTCAGGCTGCCTTTCAACTTTCAGAAATCCTCCTGTCTCAGCCTCTCAAAGTGCCATGGTGTCATGTGTGGGGCCCCTAACCCCACGATGCTGACCTCAGAACAAAGGGAACTCCCTTCACAGATGTGTTTTATAGGGCCATTTGCATAATGGAATAAGCTCTCAGAAAATACTTATGAGAAAGTAACAGCCCGGTTTGTAAACGAGATCTCTTATCCGTCCCCCTTTGTTTCTTCCTACTGCTTCACAGATGCATTTTTAGAACAAGCTGTGTCCTACCAACAATTTGTAGACAATCCGGCTATCATCGATGACCCCAACCTAGTGGTGAAGATCGGGAATAAGTAAGCGCCCGGCCTCTCGGCACTGCTGTGATGCTGTTCTGGTTTTATTGTTAAATAGTGAGAGACCTGAACTTTGAACCTGGAAATGTAGTGGACAAAAGCCTCGCTAAATTTCCACACTGTCCTTTCACTGAAATTGGCAAAATTCTATGAGGGATGATCAAAAAATACATTGAAGGTTTAAATTTAAAAAAAATGGTGTAGCAAAAAGCACATCGTCCTGGATCCCTCACAGTCCCCTCCCCCCACTTGGCACACACTCATCCCTGTGTCCTTGCCACTTTCTGCAGCAGCTCTGGAGTCCTCATTCCTGAGGGTCTTTCTGAGGTGTGATAAAAATAAGGGGATCGCTGCTGCCAATGTCATGCTATGGAAAGGCAGCTCATGCAACCCTGACGCTGAGTCACCACCCGCCTGAGTCTCTGGATTTGATACTATGTGACTTCTGACCTTTCCCCCAAGTCACAGTGACCGTGACAGGGAGGCCTGCTGAATCCATGCAGGATCTCAGGCAGCCAGGACAGCACAGCTTGTCCACCTCTGCTGCTGCTGGGTTAGATGGAGGCGGGGACACCCTGCCTGGGTGAAGCTGCAGGTGTGGCAGGGAGTGGTAGCAGCTCTGTAAGGGGCTTGCGGGGACCCAGAGCTTTGCATGACCTTGAACCTCGGTCCTTGAGTGACCGTTGTCTGTTTCGTCAGGTATTACAACTGGACAACCGCGGCCCCTCTGCTCCTGGCCATGCAAGCCTTCCAGAAACCGCTGCCCAAGGTGAGCCTCGACTCGGCCCTGAAGACAACTGCTGGGTCTTCGGGTGTTTGGATTTAACTTTTAGGAAGCACAGAATTAATTCTGTTGTGCGCTCCTGGTGCTCACGAGTAGACCTCAAGTTTCCAGCCTCTTTGATTTTTCCTTTTGTGCTTCTGAGGGTCGGTTGACCCAGGGCTGTCACACTGACTCCATCCCTAGCCCTTTTCATTTATTGTGAGTGTACGTCTTACTGAGTCACTAAGTTCCCCAGGCTGGGTTTTAGCTCATGATCCTCCTGCCTCAGCCTCCCAGAGTGCTGGGGTGACAAGCGTGCATCACTGTGCCTGGCTTCTCCCTTGCATGTCAGACACCCTGCCTCTGCCTTCTAAGTCGGCCTTTCCTTCCTGGTGCTAGATAATGAGGGTTCCAGCACCTGCCTTGCCGGGGGCGTGGGTACCCGGATCTTAGGGCACAGGGAGCCCAGGAAGAAGAGCACGGCTGTTGAAGGGTCAGAGCGGGCTGCTGGAGTGTGAGGTGACAGCAATCCAGGCCTCACCTGCAGCCACCAGCACCAGGGATAGCTTAGCCAGGAGGAAGCCTCGGCACAGGGAGGAATAGTATGCAGTGTGGCCGTGAGCGCAGGTGTGTGGCTGGGGAGTTGGGGTCGGGGCGGAGGGCTCCTCCAGGTCACTCGCCCAGCTTGGACTTAGCTTTTGCATCCTTGGACTTTTACTGCAGCGGACCCCGACCTTGGCTTGCTGTGTCCTTTGCACACGTGGCAGGTGCGTGGAGCCGCAGAGGCCGCTGCGTGTGTTGGGTGGCCCAGCCCTCGAGGCCCCCATCTGGCCTTGCCGTGTCTGTGCTTGCTCCTCTGAGGTGCTGCTCCGCCTGTGAGTTGGGGCTGTGACCTTGCCACTGATGGCACTTCGCAGTGGCAGACAAGCCAGAGGAGTTGTGGTTTTGTCCTGCCGGGTTCCTCAGAGGATGTGTGGCCTGGGGAATATTTTTATGTTGTATTTCTCAGATATTAAAAATTAATAAGGAAAAAGAAAAGCGCAGTGGAGTTAAAGAATTTAACTTACAGAAAGAGTTACATGTGATTTGCAAGCTAGTGAAATCGGTCCTCGTGATGTGCACACCTGGCAAGTGCATTAGGTGTTTCTCTAACCCAGAAATGTCTTTCACTGTAGAGTTTGCCAGTCTTATTGTTTTGGATACCAGGTTGCATATCACACTCAATGATCTTGCTTCCCTACTCCTGAAACTTCGGAAAAAGGGCCATGTCTTTACTTCTGTGTTACATCTTCAATCTATGTATTTCATTTTAGGGCTAAGGAAGGGAGACTTTGAGAACCAAACCAACTTTTTCCCAGCTGGTTATTGGATCAGGATAGTTTGGGTTGCAGAACATGCAGTGACTAGAAGCAGTTTAAATAGTATGGGTCTCGTACCCCACATTAGTAAGCCTCTACATGATTGGTAGTTTCAGGCTTAATTCTCTGAATTTCTTGGCTGTTCCTGAGGGTCATAGATGGCTGCTGTGGGCGTGGTGCGCTCATTGAGCCCACTCAGAGCAGGAAGCTTGGGGGCTGAGGCCCCTGCTCGTGGGCTGGAGCTCGATGACCCCCGAGCTGGCTGTCGGTTGGTGTAGTGGCGGATGGACCAGGGGTGGGGTAGATGCGCTGGCGTTCACCCTGAATCTGAGGCTGCCCCATCATAGAGCAGTGTGGTTCTCAAATACAGTTTGGGATCTGTTGTCCGGAGAAATGGGGGCTGTGTAGCTGGGAGGATCTGTCATCTCTTCCGCGTGACTACCAGGTTGTCTGTCTATTAGATGCTCTCTCCCCCACCAAATGCCAGTTCCACTGCTGTCACCTATTCAAGTTTTCTATGATTTATTTCTAAATCTAAACTATAGATTTATTTTCAACCTAAATTTTAGGTTTTATATTCCGGTGATGTCTGCTCATGGATGAACAGAGCACTTGTAAATTACATTAGCTTTTAAATACCTTTTAATAGCCTGTAGGGTTTGTGTCTGCCTCCATTACTTCTGAGGATTTTCTTGACTAGTTTTACTTGTGCTTGAAACTAAACTTCAGAATCTTTGGCAAGGTCTAAAAGTACAGTCCTGTGGCTTCTTTCTTTTTCTTTTTTTAGGTCAGGAGTTTGTTACATTTATGGGTGAACTTAGGGAGGGGCGGAGGGCTCATAAACATATGGGTTACCCATATGTTTATGCACAGGGTAGCGTGTACCTGAAATACATTTAAGTATACCCAGGTTTTCTGTGATACCCATTACCTGTCTTTGAAGCGATGAAAAGAAGCATACTTTGGACCAAATGTGGAATTATTTATCAGCTTCTTAGCTATTTTCTGTTAGGTAACTGAATCTTTCTGTCACTGCCACCTGAGGTTCCGACTACTTGAAGTCCCGTAAACGGAGCCAGAGATAATAACATTATCTTGGTCCTGGTAGTAGTAGCCAATGGTAGATGCCATTCTTTGTAAATACTTGAAAAGTTATTCAGCTGTATATAATATGTGCCATCAAACCTTTATTCCTTCAAGATATCAGTGTCAATTTTCCTTTTGATACTTGAGAGTGTCAATGAAATGTACCTGTTAGAGTTCATTTTGTCAAATTTTGGGAACTCGCATTTAGGAAACACTCCGTGAGCTTAGGTTTTGTCTCGCAGTGTTTTATCCTGTACCATATTAATAATGACTTCATGCTTTATTTTATAATCTTCATATTGAGAATAACCGCATCTTAATAACTTAGCTGCTTTAGTTGGAAAACTCCTGGTCTCACTAATCACTAATGATGCTTTAATGCTTTCTTTCTTGTTGTTGTTGTGTTGTATTTCATTTGCGGTTTGTCTGTTCTTTTCACATCTTCTGAAGTCTTCATGCTTAAGTTACCTTACTGTAATTTTGGATGCCATTAGATTTTGTTTCTCTAAAATTTTCAGTCCGCAAATAGTATGTTGTGTTTTCTCTGATTTCTTTTTCTTCTTTTGTTTCTTTGGTCTTCATTTTGCCTGTGTGTTCCTTTTGGTTCGGATGTGCTGTTAATCTTCTTTTGGTTCCATTATTTATGTTCCCATCCATTTGAAACAGGCCACTGTGGAATCTATCATGAGGGATAAGATGCCTAAAAAGGGAGGAAGATGGTGGTTTTCGTGGCGGGGAAGGAACACCACGATCAAAGAGGTGAGCGTGGAAAACTACGCTGAGGCTGTCCTCAGGAGGGTTGGGTTCCGCACTTGGAAGTTTATTCAGAGAAACAAGCCTAGCTGTGGCCCTGATGGCTAACCTGGGGGCCACCCCAGAGGGACAAGGAGCAGAGGTGGCTGAGGGCTCCACCCTCAGTTCCTGTAGACACAGAGGTCCCTGGAAAATACCCTCCTCTGTAGAAGGAAAAGGCTTCAACAAGGATTATGTAACTTTAAAAAAATAGATCTCTTCCTTCTGGCTGTGAGGACCATGGTACAGACGTGTAGTTAGTGCGGCAGAGTGGCCCAGCGGCCGAGTCCTGGAGGCGGGTCTGCAGAGCCTATCTGTCTGGCCAGGCCTGGACCTACATCCCGGCCGCTTCACTCTCTTGCCTCCCGGCTGCTGTAGCCTGGCCAACTCTCCTCCTGGGGCTTTCCACTCTCGGGACCTTTCAGTCTGCCCTGAGCCTTGCTGCTGCCTGGCAGCCTGTCCCTGCCCCCCACAGGACAGCTCCGTTTTTATATCCAGACCAGACATCTCCTCCAAAGAGCTGACTGAGGAGACATCTCACCTGAGAGTTGCAAGCATATCGAACTCCTGTTTTTAATTTGTACTGGTGGGGTTGAACCTGGGTCCCCAGCACATTTTTATTTTTTTATCTTGAGACAGGTGTTGCTAGTTGCTCAGGCTGGGCTCCAATTTAATCCTGCCTTGGCCTCCCAGAGCACTGAGGTGTTAGGTGTGCAGCAGCACCTGGTCTGGCTGTTTTTAAAAACAATTAATTTATTGGTATGCTTTAGATATGCCCAAGATCCCATTAATTGTGGGGAATTTGAGTGTGTAGTAACACACCTTGATTCTTTTCTTCCCACTTCCCTCCCCTCCCTCAACTCTTCTTCCCCTCCTGGTTTGCAAAAGCTTTATCTCCATTTTGCCGTTTTCCCCCTTCCTTCTTTCTCCCTTCTCCCACATTCTCCTTCCTGACTGAATGTTTTCTTCCTGTTTCCCAGTATCTACCGTATACTTCGGTCCTTATTGACACTTTCAGTTTCTCACATGGGGAAACCATGTGATATTGAAACTCAATGTGTCTGATTTATTGTTTTATTAAAGTGCTCCAGTGGAACTCATTAGATATTGATTCAAAAATCCAAAATCCAGAGCCCTGTCTTGGGCTTCTAGGAGAGCATGTCCTATTAAAATATGCCATGTTGCAGAAGAGACAGATGCCTCCCTGTTTCCCCCAAGCAAAACCTGGCACGATGATGTCTTCCAAGGAATGAAGCCCCAGGGATGCAGGCAGCCCTGCAGACACACGTGTGGGGCCTCTGTGGTGGTGGAGATGGGTTGGTGCCAGGAGCACTTGTGAAGACAATCACATTTCTGTCAAAAGTGTTTCTTATGGGGCTGGGGAGATAGCTCAGTAGAATAAGTGCTTGCCTGGCAAGCACAAGGTCTTGAGTTCAATCCCCGGTTCTGCAAAAAAGAAAAAAAAAAATTTCTCATTTGTGATCCTGTAACCAGGATGTGCCCAAATACACAGACCCAGAGCCTCCTGCTGCCAGCCTTGGGGTGTGTGTTCTGGGGTTAGGGTCCACCCACATGGGGGCCCTGCCCTGGGAACTAGGGGGTTTTTGAAACATGACCTCACTACATAGTCCAGGCTGGTCTTGAACTTACTGTGTAACCCAGGCTGACCTTGTCCTCACTGTGATCCTCCTGGCTCAGCCTCCCGAGTGCTGGGATGACAGGCATGTGCCACCATATTTTGGCCTAGGAACTTTTGTGCAGTCCTGTCACCTTGTACTTTCTGTACTTCCGTCACTCTTTCTCTTCCCCTTCTGTAGGAGAATAAGCCGGAGCAGTGCCTGGCTGGAAAAGGCCACAGTATCGGGGAGCAGCCATCTCAGCTGGGCATGGCCACCAGGTACAGGGGTTCCTTCTGGGGTGTTGCCACTCCCTCCCATGCTCATGATCACATCTGGGTCAGCCAGATGTGTACAGCTTTCACTAGTTGGCCCTGCCTCTGGGCGTGGGCTCTGAGACTCACTCAGGGACTTGGCATCTTTGCTTTAGATTGATTTTCCATCCATCCCACTTGCAGGGGAAACGGGAGTTGAAATGGGGTGTCCTGTGTCTTAGTCTTTCATTGCTGGGACAAAATACCTGACACCTGCAAAGTAAAGCAGGGAGGGTTTGCATTGGCTTACAGTTTGCAGAGGTTTCAGCCCATGGTCGGCTGCTCCAAGGCAGGGTGCTTGGCACAGGGGCCTAGCAGAGGAGATCCACTCACCTCATGGGGCACAGGAAGTGGAGGGAGAAAGGAAGAACCTGGGAGGAGAGAAACACTTCCAGGCCACGCCCCTGAGACCACCTCTACCAATCAGGTCCTGCCTCCCACTAGCAAGGCAGTACTCAGTCTCTTGTCATCCAATCAGCTCCCAGAAGCCCAGCCTATGAGTGCATATGCTTTGGGGGCATCTGGATAAGAACATGCCAGTAATTAGAGCCTCTGCATGCACTGGCAGGTGATGTGCCCAAGGGGGTGTGATGATGACAGTGAAGATGGCAGTGTTGATGATATTAACAGTGGCCAGAGAGATAGTTCCCTGCCAAAGGAATTGCCTTTCTGTGGAAGTTCAATGCTAATTAGGACTTTACTCTTTTTCTAAATAGCGATATAGATATTAACTTGCACAGGAGGCAGGTTGTGATGATATTGATCACTACTGATGATTTGGGATTTGAGAGTGGCTCTTAAGTTGCCCAGTGGTAGACTGTGTGATAGAATTTCTGCACAGCGATGTTTTGTAGGCATCCCCTCCCCTGTACAGCACCCTCACCTGAGGAAACCAGGACTGCATGGGGCATGCCTGTCATCCCAGCATCCTATGAGGCTGAGGCAGGAGAATGGCAAGTTTGAACCCAGCTTGGGCTTTTTAGTGACTTAGTGAGATCTTGTCTCAAAATAAAAAATAGTAAGGACTTGGGATGTAGCTCAGTGCAAAGGCCCTGGGTTCAATCCCTAGTACTGCAAAACATTAAAAATAGAAAGAAGAAGACAACAAACACTGACAGCTGAGTTGAAGGCATGACCCATCTCTTGATCTCTTGGCTTGTTGAGTGGAGGAGATGCTGGTGTGGTGAGCTCTCCCTGGACCGGCTAGATTTTTTGGTCCCTTGGCTGGCTTGTAGAGGATGCCAGCTTTATTCTCAGTGTGGTGGTTCCTGGCTGCAGCTCTGTTTCATTCCTAGAACCCCCTGGTGGCAGTGGAGGCCTGTGTCATGGGTGGTTGGAGGGTTCCTCCGAGGTTCCCTGCAGGACCAGGGTACTGAAGCGTGCAGTCTTGGTTGGTGGCTTTAGGACACACTGTTGCACCCAGTGGGTGGCCTTGAACAGGGACCAGGGGTGGGTGGTGAGGCCACGTGCCAAGGGTCGGCTGATGGGTCAGCAAGCGTTGCCGCTGCTGTCTGTGCCTTTTCTGGCTCTGGCACAGATGCTGCCAGGGCCACGGGGCTGGTGGAGGTGCAGGGACCTTGGACGCCGGCACCCTGCAGCACCTGCAGCCACCCACCCAAGTGGTTATGATGCAGTCCCATTCGCTGTTGACAGAGGCAACTTTCCCGTCCTCTAGAAATGGCCAAACCATTTGTCACTCCCAGTCAAAGTTGCAAATGTGACAGAAGCAGAATTCATGCTGGTGCAACGAAATTGAGGTTTTGGAAAGTATTTCTCCAAGCTTCCCCTGAGAAATTAGAAGTCTTTTAGCAGGCATGGGCACCTCCAGCTTTTATTCTCTTTATTAGTGGCGTGCAGGTGCCTTAAAAAAGGACAGGAAAGAGAGGACTGTTTTCCTAATTCACAGACGTGACTGACAGAACGGCCCCCAAGGGCATGGTGACTGGGCCACCAGCTAATCACCAGAAAAGTAATTAAAACACCACTTGAAAAATGTGCACGGAGTTAGATGTTGTTTACAGCTACGCATCAGAATGCAGACTTCCACACAGACGAGCCTTTATGTTTTTGTTTGTTTTGGTTGTCTTGAGACAGGGCCTCAGCGTGCAGTTCAGGCTGACCTTGAACTTGTGAATCCTCCTGCCTCAGCCTCCTCCTGAGTACTGGGATGATGGAGAGCCATTTGCTTAGGTTTGTTGCTGCTAGAAGAGGCTGACAGGCAGAATGAGAAAAAAAACTTTAATGAGAAAATAAAAGAGCAATGAGACAGTTTCAAAGCAGGTACAAGATGCAGACATGCTATCGTCTAAAACAATATTAGTACAAACCTTTCTTCTCAACTAAGAGAA